AAAAGACAAATGTGTTTGTCCTCTCTGTATCAGAATCTCAGCAGACCTGATGCCACAGGAGCCCAGAGAGGCAACAGCGGCTTTACCCAGCCCCTTCTGCTTCCTAAATCCAGTAGGCCCATGGTGTCACTTAGTTACTTCTTTTCCTCCTATTACTCTTGTCACAATAGTTGAGGACATCTAGCAGAGTTTTATAACAGACACATACTGCCACTCTTCATCTGCAGTGTAAGCACTGAATACTTGAGACAAGAGAAAAAAAAACCCAAACCCAATCCCCAGAACATATGCGCCTTCTCTGCAATTTAAGGGCTAAATGCTGGGGACCTTCCTCAGAAGTAATCTAAGGGAAGTCTGCCTTACTCAGTATCTCTGAATCCGATCCTTCACGAGCAGCAGTCAGCCCAGAGTGTGAATGTGCTGAGACATGACAAACCCATGTAACACCTCTTGCTGATATGCTGTTACTCTGTGGTTAAGGCTCATGAGGATTTTTGAAAGGAAGTTTATTTTTGCAAGCTGCTGAGTGCTGACTATGATGTGGGGCAGCTTTCACTTAGGCAAATGTCTTAACTTTTGTTAAGGCTTTTGGACAGACAGACTATTAAGTGACATTTACAAGAAAAGCTATGTAGATACATTTGGTTTAGGCTATTCAGTGAAAGTACATGTTGTAGGTTTTAACAAATAGTGGACAGTTATGGTTCAGCACAAAAGGAGAAGGCAGCTTTTCACCTTGACAGCTGCCATCTCTCCCCTTCTTTTGGAAGTTCTAAAAATATTTGAGAGGTCCTAAACAATGTTCCTCACAGGTTATCATCACTACCTAAAACACAGAGGTTGGTATTCAGTATGACAAATCAGTTTTATGTAGTTTAACCATCTGTCTCTGCCAGTTACATGAAGTGGATGATTCTGAAAAAGTCAGTGACCATCATATGAAAACGTACATTAGGATACAATCTGTCACACAGCACTGAAAATTAATCCTGCTGCTAAAGAAATGGAAAATGCACAATAAACACATTACCTGAAATTAAAATTGTTTTTGACCAAATCTCCAGAGCCTTTAAAGTTGTAACAATGATTTCCTATTTATATGGACCCCTTGAATTCTCAGGTGATTCCCTGTGGAGAGCTCTATGAATACTTCTTCCAGAGCTGAGGAAAGGAAAATAGATAGCTATAATGGAACTGCAGGAGCAGCCAAGCAGTAGATTGATTCAACAGGAGAAATTCAATGCATCCCAAAAGATTTCCTAGGATTTGCTCTCCTGCTGCTTAGGGCACAATTTGTTGTAATGAGAAACTGAGGATTTTGTTTCAGGTGTGTCAAAGCTTGTAGTGATGACTTGAAGGTATAAAGAAAAAACAACAACTGAAAATCTCTCTTAAATAATGCTTTTGGATGGGGAGAGAACAAGGACAAGCTCTTCAAGGTGCAAAAAAGGTCAAATGTCTCATGTAAATAGCATTCCTTAAGAGATACTAATTGAATGCACAGTTGAACCTTTTCCTTCATCTCCAAACTCCTGCATTAAACAGCTTGAAATCTACAGTGCACTTCAGTAAGCAAAACAGAGAAAGCTTTATTAAATTACCTGGTAAAATTGCACTTGGTCTCACTGTAATCTCTGCTCTTGGGAATGTCTGTGGAAAAATCCTCAGTTTTCAGTTGTGAAGAACTGAGTTAACAAGTTATAAAATAAAAAAACAAGTGAGGTGTTTTTTTTTTTATTTAATAAGGGAACATTTAAACAGGCAGACTACTCTGTTCATCTGGAGCGTGCCACACGGTAGAGGTCTGGCAGGAAGCATGTACTGCTGCAGTATTACATAAGCCCTGTTTGAAAGGTTAAGTGGAACATGCATGACGTGAATTTCACCCTGAAGAAATATGAGAATTTGTAGGCACACATGCCCTCCTCCACGAGAAGTAATAGTCATTATGAACACTGAGCTTCTCCACAGCTCTGGTGTACCACAGCCTATGCAGATTTCTCGCTAATTACAGTGAAAGCTCTGAAATGCTGTGTTGTTTCTCAAGTAAAGCCCAGAATTTTATTCAGAAACAGGCTGCCAGATGAAATTTCCTCAGGCAAAATGCTGAATGCTAATGGCATCCTGGTTTGATTAGGGAAGACATGTAAAATCTGAGATGTTCATATTCACAGCAGCACATACTGTTCAGCACCAGCATGCCCCTCACACTTCTCAACATCACACTATGTACCGGAACATCACGCAGTGCAGAAGAACAAACAGAGAAGAAATGGATGCTCTAAAAAATACCTTACTAAGAATGAACATTCATGCACAAATGACATTATATCTGGACAACCAGCACAGGTTTATATTTAGTTACAAACAATGCAAATATCTAGAACCCAAAGATTTGAGTCTTAGAGCTTTTAGAACAGACCAAAGCAGACAGCACCTGCCCTTTCTCCACTAGATGACCAAAGCCACATTACAGCTCCAGGCTCCAATCAATTTCAAGACTTACCACATGAAGCAGGATCTCCTAGAGCATCCTTCCTTATTGATAAAAGGCCATCAGACTCAAACTCTCCCAGCACATAGCATAGGAGCAAGTACTGACCAGGAGAGAACAACAGCAAGTGCTTCACCACCTCGGCCCCTTCCCAAAACAAGGACCAGGGGCTTTTTCATTTCCAGTTGAAACGGCATTTTGCAAGATTGTTTTTATTCTTTCTGTAAACTCTATGTATAGAGTATACAGAGAATATACATTATTTCAGCCAGCTACCTGTCCCTCAAGCTTGACCTAAACTCAGCATAAAACACTGATACCCTCATGGCAATGGAGTCTGAACCAGAAAGTCAGTTTCTGATCAGGGATGGGGCATCATTTGAACACATGAAGCAGTGAGGAGCTAATAATCAGTTATTATTATAGTTCCTATTATCATTTTATTTGCTCTCAGCCTGACTGTGGAAGAAGAATGGGAGTTCTGCCTCATCCATTAACCTGGAAAGCAAGGCACGATGTACAGCAAGAAATAAAAACAGCAAGGAGCATCTAGATGAAACACAATCTTTGCTTTTAATGAGACAACCCCCTCTCCCCCCATCTTCGGAAACAGTTGAATCAATTACATCTCTTACCTGTATGGTCCCAGAGTCCTGCTGCCATAATATAAAGCTTCTTCCCAGGATTCAAGGTTAATACAGGCATCCATGGCACAGTCAAGCATTTTCAGCTGATAGATATTTGTGTCTGGAAGACGACCCATATTGCCGCTCAAGAGATTCTGGCATCTTGCCAGAACCTGCTCCCACTCTGTTATTAGCCTTAGTTAAAGAAATATCTTTAATCAAACAAAAATACAAGTTCTAAACATTGTTAGCAAGGATTAAGAGCTACAGGGCATTAAGATAAAAAAGCTGCCATCATCCCAGATTCTGCTTCAATTCTTGAAAACATACTTGAACTCCGAAGTGATAGCTTAAGTAACTATGCTTTGTTTACATTTAGCAAAACAATTTCTAAAGAAGGCAGTATTTCAGCAATAAAGGATAAAAGAAAGATGACAACATGAAAGGATATTTTAATACATAACAAACTAAAATTCAAATACTTTTTATTTAGCTGTTGAAACATTATTGTTTACCTAAGGTACTCCTCCAAATCTTATGCCCAAGGGCAAGTATCCATGGAAATGTATCTTAACAAAATGTCTTAGCAGCTAATAAAATAAATTTAATTTTTTATACATTAAAATAATGACACATACTTTTAAGCTGCCCAAGATTTCGTTTAGAATTCTCATGAAATTAGATGCTTTTCTTGCAATTAATTAAATTTCTTTCTCCTTGAAACAGCTGTAAAGAGCATTGTTTTTTTCATGTACAGCTGCATGTTTCATGCATGAGAAAGAAAAGCATCGCAGTTCTGATGTCTGACTGTAGTTCAGAATTAAGGATCTGGCAGTAAAGAAGATTTTTACCTCCACTGCTACAAGATTTTTTTCTGTGTTTGGAAGACAGGAAAAGTAAGATGGGGCTTGCATTCACTTTAGTTGGATATTCCTTACCACAAACCACGTATTTTCATTACATTCTACACTGGTTTGACTTCTCTGTGGACCAGATTCTTCTCTCTCTTGACCACACCTAAGCTGAATACCAATACTCCCAGATTTTAAATGAGTACTGTCATCTGGGACTTTATGAGAGTCCCAGAATGCAAGCAGTCTAAACACCAAAAAGGTACCATACTCACCAGTAAGAACAAATCAAATAAAAAAAAAGTAGACTTAGAGTAAGAAAAGTAATAACATCGTTTGTATCATAGTCCTTTCCATACAATCAACTCAAGAAAGTTCAGCAGTTATCTTCACAACAGTACTGAAAATACTATTCACCCCAATCCAGCAATGGATTTAAATGTACAATGATAACCCTATGATGAAGCAATTAGTCCTTCCTGAACATGGGAATATTTACAGACTTAAATTTAAGAATGTGACCACTATGTGGCTGGGCCAGGATTTATAGCATGGTTGTTACAAGGCTAAACTAATTATTTGTGAATTGCTCTCATGCCCTTGGATTGAAAGAACCATATAAGGGAAGGAATGTGTTACTATAAAATTGCACCTTAACCTTTATATCTCTGGCAAACATCCATGTATTCTTTACAACTGATTAAGGACAGACAAACAGAAGAATGAGGGATATTATTTCCACTTGATACAATTTTTGTAGAAAGTACAAAGCACTGACATTCTTGAAAGATTACCATTTTAGATGATGCATAGTATTAGTCTGTCTGCTTTTACTTCTCATTATACTGCTTTGTTCACTCACTAACATTTAGTAGCAGAAGTGCTATATTGCGAAACCTGTTGGGACCAAATTTTCAGGTACATAAATTGCAAATTAGAAAACCGACTACCAGCTGCAACAGGACAAAAGAGAAGCTGGCTGTCCTGTATCTGCCCAAGACTAGAGGAGCAGCCCTCAAGCTGCTCTGCTACTGTTGTGTGGCCTGAGATGCAGAGGGATTCTTTTCTGCACAATAATCCCCTTGCACTGGGGATTATACATCTCAATTTGTATGCTTAAACTGGAATTTGGGTCTGAGACAGTTCACTTACATATTGTTTCAAGTTCTCTAACTGCAGATGTAGCATTACAACACTATCAGTTATAATCAGTAGCTCAGGTTTTGGAAGTCACTAACTTTCTCAACTGCAGGAACTAAAAAAATTGGTAAAAAAATTACATTTGCAGAAACTAATGACTATGTGCCTCAGTCAGCAAGGAAGGTTTTCTATTCATTCTTGGCAAGTGGACAAACGTCAAGCCCCCTCTTCAGGTACTGCACTCGTCACTGCATGCCAATTAGCACTGGTATTGTGGTGCAATGGAAGGAAAGATGACACATTTCAAATAGCCTGTCTCTAAGAACAGAAGCTGAACAAAAAACAAGGACATATTTTTTCAACCAGTCCTGATACCTTTTACTACAATGTGTTTGATTCATTTTTAAATATCAGTTAAATCAGTAATCTTAATTAAAGACCCTAGAAAATTCAGTAGGTGCAATTTCTCCTGCAATTAAATATAGGAACATTAAATAGGGCCAGTATTCTAGCTCCATACTTTCGGTATAAAAATGATTACAACTGCATGTTGCATATCTATAATTTAACTTTCAGGTTAAAACATGGGCCCTGAAGTATAACTGAATGCCCGAAGTTCTATTTCAGTATTGTCTGTCTCAATCCAGTGACTACAGAGGAACTTAAGACAGACTAGAAACTATATGAAAATTAACGTTAGATGAGATGAGTGTTTCCCTTTTGCTAGCAAACAAATCCTTCTGGATTAGAAAGAAACAAACTCAGTTGGGTTTTGTTTATTTTTTTGTTTGGTTTTTTTTTTTGTTACAATAAAAATTGTGATCACTTGTTTCCAGCCTGGAATATCACTATGCACGCTTGTTTTTTATGCTGCTGAAAAGGAGTACTGGAAGATTTAATTCTCTCTAGCTCCAAAGAAAGTCCATGTTTCTGAAAACGGTAAGGCATCTTGCTACAATAGGCCAAATTCACAGTCAGTGAAATTCCACTGAATAGACTAACATGAGAGAGGGATCAATATATTCATAATCTTCTAGTAGAAATCTCCACCTCTCTTCTGCTCATCTTTTCTTGGTTGTTGCTGTTCACTAATTTTTTTAATTGGATTGAATATCTACAGGATGGCCATTAGGCTCCAGTTCTGTTTATTAGTGCAAGATCATCTCATTCAATTTGCTTAATTATCAATTATTATTATATATTATTATTATAACTTATTATAATGATTCTGTAATGTTTGCAGTGAACCTGACTGTTATTGTCATTGCTGTGCAAAGAATGAGAACCTGGAAATATTCACAGCGGGAGTAATGGAACAAAGAATTTAACAATGTTTCAGATTAAGCTTTATTTCATTTAGAAGTGGATTTATATGAAGTGGTAGGCTGTGATGGCAGAAGTCTAAACCTAAGCCAAAATATCCCTTCACATCCTAGATACCTACTGTCCTTGCCATGAATCAGTTCCAGTCCAAGTAATCAGAGGCTATTATTATTAATACAGTTAAGAATATTACACGTTTAAAACATCAAATGAATTAAAAATACATTTTAAAACAACATAAAAATGTAAGCCTTTAGGAAATAGATCTCAAAAGATGAACTGCGTACTAACAGGCTCTCTGGATTGTTTTCACAACTGAATGACAGCCTGTAGCCTGTCACTGAAAGGATACCTTCTTTTGATTTTGGATATCTCACTTCATTTACAGCATCTTTGACTTCTTTCCAGGCATGCTCTTCACCGGCCAATTTCTCAGCATCCTGGTTAATGGAAACAAAAGCATTTGATGAGAAAAACAGTAAACTGAGAATATGCAGTAATGATGAAAAACAGGGTAAAAAGATTACACTGACAAAAGCTACTTGTGGGGATTGTATCGCTATTTTTTGTAAATACACAAAAAATCATTTCACCTGGCATTCATACTCACCCAGTGTATGTAAGTAAATGAGATGATATCAAGAAAAATGAATGCAAACTTGGAAACATTAAATACTCAAATGAGATACTAGGTTTGCAACAAGAACTATGATCAAACAGAAAAGAGAAATAATAGCATGTGATTTTTACTATCAAAATGCATAGAGCAGATCAAATTCTCTCAAAGACCTGCTACCTAATACTTCACAGATCATCAACCACACTGTAGAAAGGATTTGGCAAATAATTTTGATTAACCATGTGGTGATTATAGAAACTTTACAAACAGTGAGAGGCTACCTTCAAGCATTACAGTTATAAGCATGAGTTTACAGGAGAAGTCTACTACTCAGAAAAAGTTGAACTTCAGTTTTCTTTTATAACTCATTGCAACTTCTTCCCTATTCCATCGGATTCTATAAACAGCTGTATTTTCCCATCACTTTGTCATAAAGAAGGCAAAAATGATTAATGGCTGCAGCAGTAAGAGAAAGTTTCCCTTTTCAACTCTCTAACAGTGACTAACTGCACCTTAGGCAAACCACTTGGAACAAATTTATTAAAGCATCTACAGACACAGTTAAGCATCTTGAGGGATTTCCAAAAGCATCTAGATATTCAATTTCCATTGCTATAAGCACTTAAATACCTTTAAAAATCTGGCCTTTAAGACACTGCAGTTCATTATCTCTCTCTCCTTATAAAAGGCCCTGCTACTCGCAAGAGTTTTGTAAGTGCAAATTCTTGTAGGAATATTTTAAATACAGTTCTAAAAACATAACAGAGAAGGTGTGTGAAAATCTAACCAAGCACTTTGTAACCAACAGATGCTCACTGGGCATCATAGGATTACCTCTATTAAAAAGCCTGTAATCTGTATCCGTCTAGAACTGCATAATTTTCTTATTCCACTGCTCCTTATTTACCACAACTTCAGAACAGAAAATATTTACAGTGAGAATCAGCACTCACTTTCACATTTAATTTGCAGTTTTGTCTTTCCATCTGCTCCATGAAACAGCAGACCTCTGCGTATTCCTGGGATTAAATCAAGATTGGTCTCAGCTGCCCCCACCATTCTGTAGGGCCTTACAAGGAAGGCAGCCTGACCCCACTGCATTTTGCACATGTACTTCCCCTACAATCAGTTCTCTGATGAAAAAGATCACCTGGAAATAATTTTGTGCATAGCTGAATTTGCCACCAGAAGGCATAAGGTGAATGTTAGGACAAACAAACTCATACTGCAGAAATTTTATCAGGAGAGTTAATGTACATACCCAGCCTTCTTACAGCTTTGTGGTAGACTTACTTACACTGAATCTGTTAGCTTCAATGTAACCTCTACCAGTTTTTATGGGACTGTATCAAGTTCTGAACTCAGCCTGTTAACCTGTAACAATCTGTCCCTAAAACATCTTTGTAGATCAAGCACTGCTCACTGATTATCTAAAAAAATAAATCTGGCCTGTAAGATATGAATAATGATGTCTGTGAAATTTTAGGTTTAAAGAGCTACTGAAAAAGAAAAATTCTTTTAAGCTATCTTTTCCCACCGGCCCAAGCATAATTCTCAGTATTTCTGTAACATGCTGTAAGCCTTATGACTAAAACCTCAGAAACATGGGAATTGGGACAGATTTATAAGTGAAAGAAAAAAACCCAACTATACACCAAGTTACAGGCCAATGACTGATGCATCATTAGGGCTCACTTTGCACACAGTGGGACCGATGGATGAATCAGGTTAAAGTGTTCATTGACATAGGATTAATAGTTCTCTTTTTTGTGCAGTCTTTTGAGTTGCTTTCCATTGTCTTCTAGCATTTCATTAACAACACAAACCAGTGTAAGGTTGGGGTTTCCTCTAACCTTTACACTCCTGCATAGGGTTAAGTCAACACTGGCTTCATATCCAGGTAGAGAATAGGGAGTGTCTGTTGGACCAATAATCTCACAGCCCTCTCTGGATTCATGGTCTTTATCCCTTTTGTAAGAGACTTTAGGATGGCGGGAGCTGGGCAGGATGCCCAGCTCTGGGAAGGATTTAAGTCACAGGTTTCAATGAGATGTTTTCTGTATTTTCAAAATGAGGCATTTTGGGGATTGGCTGACGTAAGAACAAGCAAAGACCTGGCTAGCTGGGCCTTTTAGACCTCTGCTGTTCTTTATCAGATTTCCCATACACCAAAGAAGTCCTGTCCTTTCCTAAACACTGTAGTTCAAGGCATGGAGGCTGCTTCCAAACAGGCAGCCAAGCAGGGGCTGCAAAACAACCAGGAGAACTTGTCACTGAGAACACTTCTGCCTTCCAGCCTAATAAGATTTTTCCAAGTAAGTTGTTTCTCTCCCTTGGACAATGCCTTGAAAGTCATGGCCATGTGATATGACTAAGCCAGCTAAAAATACAAAGCTGCCTTGGAGTTGGAATTATGGAAATAATTGAAATTATTAGTAGTTACACCGAACTGTTTAATTTAATCTAAGAGCATGGCAGTTAACAGCTATGGGAGATTTAGCTTTCCACAGAGTAACACCCATTCAAAGCATCTCTTTTCAGAATGTGTTCCCAATCAAACTTCCAGGTGTGCAGAGCTGCCAACAATAAAGGAAGACAGGCTTTTTTCATCTGTAGAAAAGGAGAATCCTAGCTGAAGAAAAGGAAGAGGCTTTTGAAAAAGAAGGAAAAGTTAGCGACTTGTACCTAATAATTTTCCTTATTTCTAACATTGACACTAAACATAAGAGTTTGTTCTTCAGAACAACAAAATATTTGTGTCTTGGTCTAAAAAATAATTAGATTAGATAATCTAGTCACAAAAATGCATGACAACCTTACGATGGCTGAAACCGGCATGCTTTACAATTCAGCTTTCGCACATAGAGGCGTGCTGGAGAAAACAGAGTGGATGTGTTGAAGGCTCATGGGGAGAGCAGAAAAGACAGCTGCAACACATATGCTTTTCCATGGCAAGAACACAACCTCGCAATACTCTTAATAACACAGGTACAGTCCATTGGAGGCATAAATGTCACTGGATATGGTAGCTGAACCCCCAATCTAGGGTGCAAAGAAAGACAAAATTGATCCTGTGACTTATTTTGAGCAGTTATTCCAGATGGAAGATCTTCCAGCACCTGCTTTCCACTTACTCCAAGCATATGCAGGGGAAACTTGTTCATTAAAAGGTGAGTTAAGATGCAACAGCAACATTTCAATTCCATCTCTCTATTCTCCCAATACCATGGCAGGTGCTGCTACAGCTTTCTTGATAAAACACACCTGGGGATTCGTCATCTTAACACTGAAGCTTTCTGGAAGTCTTCAAGGACTACCCATCCATTGGACTACCTATCCCTGACTGCTTAGACCTGTGCTTCTAATCCTTTAGACAGAACAATTTGCAGTCATATTCCGGTCTTCTAGTAAAACAAGTTAAACTCTTCACACCTGACACCTCCCAGAAGAAGGACACTGTGTACCTTCAGATCTTTCTGAATTTAGTTAAGGTACATAAAACATGAAGGCTCACCTACATAATTCAACCACACAAAATTCTACCCTTGAAATCTATTTGGCTCTTTAAAATGGGCAAATGCAAAATATTCTCTAAAGCAAAATTTTCCTGCCATAAAGAACCATCTTTCTGCCCCTAAATTTCACAATAATTTCACTGTATAAAGGATTCAAGAACAAATTTTTTTAAAATATTTGCCTGAACATCCTGATTTCTATAGCTTGTACATCAGAACAACATTAGTTGTTGTTTTTCTTTCAGAAAAGTTTTTTCACAACAAGTTTTGTGTCTGTGACAGCACTGCCTTTATAAACCTCCTCATTTCAGGAGCTTAGAGCTGACTGCAAAATTCCCATCCAAGCTGCATAGGTTACAAGCTGAAATAAAAATTGATTAGACCATGGGAACGGCGATAAATAGAAGTTCAGTATTTATGAACTCATAAAAGCCAGAGGATGAGAGGAAGGGAGGAAAAGCAAAGGAAAGTACTTACAGCTTAGCATCAGAGAAATAGGGCCTTATGACAGACCACCCAAAAATTCTTGGCACGTTTGTAATTCCATTGTAATTTCCAGCATCAGTCCAAAAAAACCCTGTGGGTAATTCGGTTACCTGAGGAAAGATACTGTTCAGCCTAATCCCTAGCAACTGTGAGGCTGGTGTTTCAGACTGTTTTAGACATTACACATTTGTTAAGGCAATCTCTAGGTCTATCTTACCAAACTGACAGCTATAAGGCAAATCTGCTTTATTCCTTAATTCTGCAACCTGTGGACACACAGAGTGCCTCTGAGGACATTTAGTGGCTCAAAAGAGATATGTAGGTCCGAAATCCTCAGAATATTTAAGTATTCACAATGCATAATCCAATCCACATTCATCAGTGCATTGAAATACGTACTTAAGTTTAAATGCATGCATAAATCACATTAAAGTTAATATTTATGTGAATGACTAAACACTTCACTAAGTAGAGGTGTAGTTATTTGAGTATCAAAGTTCAGTTTATGCTTCAGCGATTTGAAGAATTTGTGCCCATTGAATTATTGGTTCTAACTGAAGATATACTGACATGAAGTTAGATATTTATTTTGAACACTAATATAAAAAAAATTTAATATCTTAATGCATGATATATCACATGATAAAATGGTAGCTATAGTAATTATGTTTTTTTAATGTATACTGCAATGTAAAATAACAATATTTACTGCAGCATGCGTTTTCTGAATGAATGGGTATGAAATACAGGGATTTTAGGGTTTAGAAAACCACATGCAACAGGGTTAAGATCATATACAGTTGATCAATCTAAAGTGAAA